TGTTGGCATTAATTTCAATAATCATATATACCCTAGAATAGATATCATAACCATAGTTTATTTTTTATAACGTTTTTTTGTATTTTTATTAAATGTTGTACAAGTGATGTCTAGAAGGTGTTGATATTTTTTTGTTGGCAAATTATTACGCTATCTAACACCCCAATAATCTATAATATTTGTATAAGATGGTGACAACTATTATTTTTTATTGCAGCATCCCTTCATATTGATTATACAATGTGGTTTGAGTTCTGGAATGCTGCCACTGAGAGGATTCCACATTGTGGGCCGTTGGAATTCATTACAAAATGAGGCATGATTTATATGCCTTATTGGGTATTGATGAAAATTTTTAATTCTTGCTCATGTAGATCGATAAGTATTTTACAATATGCTCTTTTAACCTTATATCAGGACCTTTTCTGGAAAAAATTGCTTTTAGTATTGAACTTTGAATTTTTTTTTCATATATAGCATCGTACTCTTTAAAAAATGACTTTTTTGGATTATTTTTATTTGATATGGAAAGTTACATTTTTTGTATATTGAAGATCATTCAAAGGATTGTTTTCTGGAAAAAAAATATTCATTAATAGCATTAAACTTTGCAAAAAGTTCATTAATAGCATCGTAGTTTCAAAAAAGGACTTTTTCGTATTCTTTTTGGCCAATCTAGAAAAGTTTTATTTTTATGTACATTAGAGCTCATTAATAGGATTTTTTGAAAACATTTTGTTAATAGAAAGTATATTTTCATTTTCTTTCGCATATAGACCATTTATATAAAAAAAACATTTCAAATATGGACCATTTATGTACTTTTGTTCACAAGTGAACCATTTATGTAATATATAAATTTAGATGTTAATTAGTAGGTCATTAATATGACAATTTTCTAGGGAAAATTTGTTTTTAGTATTGAAATTTGCAAAAAAAAAAAAAAAAAAAAATTCATTAACGGCATTGTACTTTAAAAAAATATTATTTTGGAATATTTTTAGATGATATTGAAGCGTTTCATGTTTTCCAACATTGAAGCTCATTGGTAGGACAGTGCTCTGGAAGCGAATTTCATTAATAGCGTTGAACTTTGCAAAAAAAATTCATTAATAGCATCGTACTTTTAAAAAATAATTTTTTTGGAATTCTTTAACTGCAGGTAGATTCCTTGAATGCCTACCTTGATGAACATATGTGGAGAAATCTTTTTGGAAATGGATAAAATCCTGATATGACAACCCGAACAAGAAAAAGGAAAACCCAGTTTTGACTAACCCAATTTATTCAAAATCTTTATTCATTTTAGTAGCTTACACACCATTTAGATGCTTTCAAAATAGCATATGAAATAACTTTGAGATGTAATGAAGCTAAAATGTTATTTGACATGTTTTGTACTTTCTAATGATCATTACCAGGAACATTTGAAGGATTTTTTTACCAGAAAGAATGTGATAAATATACAAAACAGTGTTGCATATTCAGAACCTAATGTTCTTAAGTTACTGTAATAAGGTCTTCTTGTAATAGTTGATTGGCCCTACCCAACTATCCCATGCACGTTAATGGATTTATGTTGTTCTAAATGCGTTAAAATGCTTCACTTAGGTGTTACTCAACACATGGTCTGTGGACTATCCACATTGATTTCATGATTGAGAAGAACACATCACATCGACCAAGATCAGACCATCAACCATATTAGTGACACCCACTGAGATTAGCAATGTAATTTGAGTAATCATCCAAAACAGACAATGAACTTTGAATTGTAGTAAATCTAAAATTAATTCCTAAATTGTACATCAAACTTCCAACATTAAACCTTGAACATTTTCAATTAATGTTATCGAGTTGATATGCATTTGATTATTTAGGTATATCGTAAATTGTTTAGCTTCCACTGTTGAATTATGGCGTGAATGTAAAGTTTTACGTTTAACCGTAAACATGAGGCTTTAGTTTGGTTGTCTAACTAATGATTCAGATGAGACAAAAGAATTTGATGAATGGATTCTTAAAATTAGTGAAGGTAATACTGGTGGCCCTAATGATGGTGAAGTTGAAGTTGAATTTCCAGAAGATGTTGTTGTTTGCTCTACAGGTGACCATATTCATTCAATTGTATCTACCATTTATCCATCATTTGAAAACCATTTTGATGATCCATCATATTTTCAAGATAAAGCTATTTTGGTACCTACAAATGAAGAATTCGATGCTACCAATGACTACATTTTAGGATTGATGAAAGATGAAGGGAAAACATATATGAGTTCAAACTCTTTATGTGAGATAGAGTTCCCAGATTTTTTTGAGGAATCAATCTACTCTTCAGTTGTGTTGAATGGTTTTAAGGCGTCTAGAATTTCCAACCATAAACTTACACTAAAAATAGGTGTTCCAGTCATGCTACTTCGTAATATCGAACAAACCAAAGGACTATGCAATGGTACTAGGTTACATATTGTTAGGATTGGAAGACACGTCATTGAAGCCTGAATCATATATGTTAGATTCTTCAACGAGACTACTTATATACCTTGCATTAAGTTAACACCGTCTAATTAAAGAATCTCATTCCGTTTTTAGCGGAGGCAATTCCCCATAGTTGTTTATTTTGTTATGACCATTAACAAAAGTTAATGACAATAATTACCAAATGTTGGATTATACTTGCGTAGACTCGTCTTCACTCATTGTTAGTTATATGTTTTTTGTTTCTCGTGTCACAAGTGAAAAATGATTGAAAGTACTCATATATGACGAGGAAGGTCGTCCAACTACTAAAACAAAAAGTTATATTTACAAAAGGATCCTTCAACGATCATAGATATTCATGTGTTTCATTGTTTTTTTTTTCAGACATTTCAATGTTACCAGTAATACTAAATCTGTTTTTGTTACTTTATTTTTTTATAGTGCCAACTTTTTTATACCTTTATATGTATATTTTTATATGTTCTCCGCGTTTTATGCGGGTCATAATCTAGTTTTTTTTTTTTAAAAACACACACCATTGTTGCAAAGCTTTTTAGAAACATCCCCATTTTCACAAAATTCTCTAGTCCATAATTAGATTATTTCAGCATTTAAATATATGCTATGGAAGGCAATATAAATACTCAGTCTGAAGCTATAAGTTCAACCTTAGACATATATATGGGTCTTGCAAAAAGCCATTTGGGTATTATTTCTTTTCTGTTGATCCTTACACGTTGCCAAAGTTGTCAGGAGCATTTCAACAAACATGTGGCGCTCTTCGTTTTCGGCGATTCCCTTTTCGATCCTGGAAACAACAACTACATAAACACTACTACCGAGCTCCAAGCGAATTTTTGGCCCTATGGCGAATCATACTTCAATCCTCCAACCGGAAGATTCTCCGATGGTCATATCATCCCTGATTTCATCGGTAATTAACAACCACCAAATTCTCGATCTCTTTTATAAATCGACATCTTTCTTATTCCTAACTTAATTCACTTCTATTAACAGCTCATTTTGCTGGATTGCCTCTCATTCCTGCATATCTCGACCCCCATAATAATGAATTTCTGTATGGAGCAAACTTTGCATCAGCGGGATCTGGTGTATTAGATGAAACTCAACCTACAATTGTATGTGTATATACCTTCTTCGTTTCTACCATTGAATCTCCTCCTCTTTCATATATCATGAATTAATGAATGTAGGCAGTTAAGCTCACGACACAGCTACAGTATTTCACCGATTTAGTGAAACATTATAGGAAGAACTTAGGTGATGTGAAAGCCGAGCAGCTATTGTCCGATGCTGTCTTTTTGTTCAGTTGCGGAAGCAACGATTATCAAATCCTCCTCGAAAACAACAAAAGTAGTCTTCTTTATGACGAGTACGTGGAAATGGTGATCGGAAACTTGACTCAAGTGTTCAAGGTAATTAACAGTTTCCAATTACATTGATCAACATATTCAATTCAAACTACATAACTTCAATGATCTTTTGATTTAATTAAAAAAGGTAATCCATGAAAAAGGAGGAAGGAAAATTGGAATCACTACGCTCACATCATTAGGCTGTTTGCTACCAGTTCGTGCAGAAAGGCCAGACAATACATGCGATGAAGAACTTAACATCATATCAACTCTACACGATAAATCACTTTCCAAGAAACTGCAAGATCTGACGCAACAATGGGAAGGATTTATGTATTCAAAGTTCGAGCTCCAGACTGAGATTACCAAACGGATGAAAAACCCATCAAAATATGGTTGTAGTACTCCTGAGTTTCATTGCTTTAATTAAATTGATCATGAACTATCATCATTTAATTCATTGTTGGGATTTGAATGGATTTTCAGGTTTAAAGGTAGGAAACAGTGCATGTTGTGGTACTGGACCTTTTCGAGCGATTAATAGTTGTGGAGGGAAGAGAGAAACACGAGAGTTTGAATTGTGTGATAACCCTAACGATTATTTATTGTTCGATCCCTATCATCCTACTGAAGCAGCGAACCTGCAATTGTCAGAGCTGTTTTGGGAGGGAGATTCCAAAGTCGCATCACCCTACAATTTAAAAAGCTTGTTTCAAGGTATGTTTGTTGATATCGTTCAACATACAACCCAATAGATAAGTAAATATTTATAGAGGACTAGTTGAGCCCAGGTTTAAAGATAAGTTTAATTTTGTGCTCTCGTGTTTCTTCTAGTCTTTAGGTACAAGTTTAGCTTTGCATATTTAACTTTTGTATCTAATTTGGATGAATATATACAACGAAAATTGCTTCAAGCTCTATGTTTCCTCTTCCTGTTTGTTTGTTTGTTTTTTTTTTTTTTTCCTTCGGAGATTTAGACCATCCATAATGGATTAAATTCAATGAATTATGATTGCATCAGGTTTAGTTTTGGAATTTTTTTGACTTGACATGTTTGAACTCATTAGATAAAACAAAGGAGGTGGGGATGGAACGGTGGTTGTTAGTTGATATGTGATGGCTTTGGTTGTTGAAGGTGAATGTTGTGTCACCGGTGAGATGAGAGAAGAGAAGGGTGGCATTTATTTTGATTCTCAGAAGAGGAACATAAGAAAAGAGTGTTTTTTAGCGAGAGAGATCACCTTTGAAATTGGAGTGGACCCATTATAACTAATATCATTCAAAATATAAAACCAATAATAAAGAAAAGCTAAAAATATAAATAAAGTATAACAATCATTACTTGTCCGACAAAGATAAAATCCAAAACAAAACTACACTATAGTCCGAGTTAAAAAAAAAAAATTAAGTATCAAACACGTAAATCACCCAAAAACCACAAGAACAATCGGTACAATTTACTCTAAAATAACAATCGGTAAAAAAAATTAAGTATCAAACACGTAAATCACCCCAAAACCACAAGAACAATCGGTACAATTTACTCTAAAATAATAATGATAAAGGTCTTATATGCTATGAGATGTATGTGCTGTATGCTGTTATATGATATGTATGTGTTATGTATGTTATGAATGAGAAGCACCCGAAGGTCATTATGATGTGGACCGGAAGGTCATGATGATATGGACCGGAAGGTCTACCAGGGTTGTGGGACGGAAGTCCTCTGAGACACAGTAAACGGAAGGTCTTATAGCCTTGAGTGGCGTATGTGCGTATGTCGAATGGACCTTGTGACAAGAATTAGAAAGTGCCTACAGATTTCCAAGGAAATAAGGTTTTAAAAAATGATTTTGGTTGGTATTTTGTTGCTATTTCCGATAGATAATCTACCTCTACCTATTTGTTAGGAACCGGACCGGGTACACGCAGCGGAAACACACTATCACACACACACAAACTCACGAAAA